CATGCGGGGTGGTGGTCACGGATTCGTTCGGACAAACGCCTGACCGTGCGGCCTATGTACGTGATTCCACAGGAACACGTAAATGAGTACACACAAAATTAGACGGCAGAATCTGGCATTTTGTCTTTTAGTCGTAAATACACAATTGACTGGGAAGTGAACAAAACATTGAACTTTGCTGCACAGAAGGTATTTCTAACAGCATCGGATAGTCTCCTTTGTATTACTTCTGTTGATGTATCCCCCTTGAACGGCAAGGCAATGTATACCATCTTCTTTCTGACCTCGGTCTTCTTCACAATATCTCTAATGCACTGAATCGTCTTGCTAACCAATCGTTCTGAATAGCCATCGTGTGTGAAGATAGTACGTAGAACCGGAGCTCTTCTTCTATTGTGTTCTCACTACATATTTTCCTTGCTCTATCTGCTAGGCAGCGCACCAAATTCCTCTTCACTTTGGGCGGTATAAAGCTGCGAAAATGAACATATTGGCCCTTCCAAGTCGCCTGCCTATGCTTTGATCGTTGCACCGAGCCATCCGACGTACGACTCAAACAGATATCTAGAAATGAAAAACGACAAACAAACTGATACTGTCCGAAAAAATGCAAACGGCCAGGATTGCTGATCGATGACGTGATGTTCTTTGCCGCTTGATCACTTTTGGCTCGCATGCTTCTCCTACTAACCACGTACAGTGTTTCACAGTCCATGAACTTTTCAAAATACGTCAATGAATGAAGAAAATCACTAGATCACTAAGCACGATTGTCACGAGGGTTAACTGGTCGTCAATCTACACTCCAGGACTCAAATTGACGAACTACTGGGATGCTAATAATTTTGGATGCAGACAGTCAACATCCTCTGTGCAATGTGACCAGGTTTTTTTAACCATCTACGTGTAAAGTGTTTCCGCACTGCTGAAGCTTCAGAAAGATGGAAAAATTGAAGTATTTCCTACGTCCTGAATGTTTCCAACGGAAAAACATGCGGTGCGCCTAAAATTCCATTTTCGATCTCATGATTCCACCACCACATGGAATGACTTGAATCTAAGGTGGACTAGCTGCATGTGCATGCGAGGGGCGGATGAAAGTTTGGAAAAGAAGCATTGCCTAGGTAAGCTCTGAAGTACAAACCAGAATGGTAACGATAGAAAAGGGACAGCGAAGCAGCTACCAAAGGCAGGAGATCGGAAATTAGAGATGATTAGTAGTCCATCGACTAGATTACCTTCCGTTGAGCAAAATAAAGAAGCGATACAGCAAAAATCGGAAGTCCATCACACGTGGAGCGTATGATAGTGTTCAGTATGCAACGCTGATACGTGTGCAGTTTTTAAGAGTTACTGTCACTCTCTCTCGGGACAGATAAGATGCTCCGATCTTAACCTAGTTTCGACTACGCAAATAGATCAGTGTCACCGATGCGTCAGAGGTTCATTTTTACCGGGTAACTGTTTGCTATCCGAAATTCTCCCGACCAGGTCAGTAAAGATTCATTTGAGACATACGTAATTGCACCGTTACTGTCCAGGTTACCTAATTGATCAAACACGTTCTAACTTTTAACTAAAGATTCCTGGTAAGTAAAGTAGTGTCTTAGTGTACATATCAGTTCTACTTTTACGTTTGGATTATGAAAGCTCTGCAACCTTTGTGCAGTTCTGAATCACGCATGATGCAGCCCATACTTTTGTACAGCACATGCTCCGTCAGCTGATCTACGAGGTCATACTGACAGTACTGATCTTTTCGCGTTTGGATCATCCACCGAACTTACACAGACATACAATCCATCTTTTACAAGTCTGTTGTCGAGGTGGCTTCGTAGCTTGGCTTGTGCACAAAAGCGTGGCCGGTGTCGATTCGTGGCTGTAATTCCACCGAGGCTACTTTATATAATCCAAACGATTGCGATTGTCTTATTTCTGGTTTCTGCTAAATAACATTATTCGAACAATTAAATAATAAAAATAAATGTCTTTACTTCCTTTTTCTATTTATTGAATATACAAATGTTCAGTCAACTTTCAGGAAGGGGGATGCGGCCATACAAAGGCTGCCAGGGGAAAATACAGATATAGAGAAGAAGGGCGGTTGAGCGGTTTGAACCCGGTACACCCAGGTCACTAGTTGGTGACCTGACCACTTGGCCACCAGTTCATCAGCCTTCTTATTAGTCCGTTTTTCCTTTCAACAGTACGTGTGTGTGTGGGAAACAACGAACTTGAGTCTCACTGTGACCGGAGTCTATAATTCATGCATAGCCACCAGTCCATTCAGTGTTTGAACTCCGGACTCCTCGCAATGAAGACGTGTACATTACTGCTGTTCCCCAAAGCTGACAAGAATTAATCACTTCACTGGTTCTTCTCAAATTCATGTTTGTTAGGATAAACTTATAATAGTGCGGGTTAGCCAGAACTAAATAAAATGATTTTTAAAGGTAAATAGCGGGTTCCGAGATCAAATTGTCATCGACATTTTATTGCCCCAGCTATTAATATTCCCCCCTCTTTAAATGACCGACTTTATGAATTTTCTGCGTTATTCTCATATCTCTCTAAGATATCCTGTATCTTGTAACCGTTTTCCAGGTCAGCGGTCTTTAAGACACAAACGGACAACTGCATCAGAAAATAATAAACTATGCAGTCTGACCTTCATTGCGGATTATTTGTTTTTCAAAAACGTTGGCGATCGAAATGAGCACAAAACAACGCGCATTATTGTCCGTTTCGAATCATTTTGACACATTAATACAACTTTTTCGATAGATCACGCTGTTCCATCGTCTGAATGCGCTATACCAATCGGCCAAATTCTTATTGGACGAAACTGTCGAAGAGGCTGGTTACGGTTTCCTGTTAGCGGATGTAAGCTGCCAAATTTGTTTACTTGCGTGCTTTATGATTCACTGAATTCGACCTGTGCTTTTAGTCGTCCATCTGCTCACCAAACCTAATCAATCAATCAATCAATCAATCAATCAATCAATCAATTAACCAGTCAATCTATCCAGGTACTCCTTCCTTTAATCCCTCTCCATTGTTATTTAAGCTTTGTTCTGCGCTGGTACTCGTTACTCTGCTATTGATTGCTACTTTTATCAAGTGTCTATCTCTCTTTTAGATCATCATCCATGACACTTGGACTAAAAAGTTGGGACATTACAACGCCCCGTCCGATGTGGGCGGAAAGGCCTGGACTGCTGTATCCTTATCTAATGTGAGTCGGTTTTCCTGGGCACCACCGTTCACCCTTCCAGTAAATAACGCTTATTTTGAATGCATTCTCCAAATTTGGGTCAAGTGAACTTCATTCGAGCGGAAGATCATCCCGATGTGGCCTGGTAACGTTTAGTACCAAAGATCGAGCCACACATAAAAGACGTAGAGGCTGAACGAAGATGAACCTTAGTGGATTAATCGATAGAAAGCAGTCGGTTTTTGCTTTGAATATAAAATTCAGCTATTTTCGGGGAATATGGGGAAATTACCTCACTGAGAGGGATGTTATCCGCAGAAAAGACTTTACTAGATGAGCATAGTAGCGGATAACATAGGCATTCCTCACGACGGCGGACCAAGTTAGTTATTTCTCGACCTCATTCATATTTCCATGGGACCCATGGTATGCGTGAAGCTAATTTGCAATGGGGAACAGCCAACAAAATCTACTAAATCTTTTCTGACGTTCTTTCTTAATCGGTCTGCAATACCTTCCCCAGGGGCCTAAGTCAAAGTCTCCATCATTCTCTTGCTTTGTACATTTAGTTTCGACTTGTAACTGTTTGAAGAATGCGCGTGTTACGTTATTATTATTATTATTATTATTATTATGAATAATTCTGACGCTAATAATGATATTCAGTTTATTCAGTCAACCATATTTTCGATTTGACTAGATAATCGGAAGATGAAGTTTGGGGGATGGTCAGTCTACATCAATATAAAATATCTCACACTTCCTACTACAAGTAGCTGTGAGTTCAGTTCGGAGCTAATACTGACGTCTAAAATCAACCAAACAGTACATCATGATTAGGTTGCTCCATTCATCATCGGCCCCATCCTCGGTCAAATGGCATAACATGCTATCCAAACTTAAACATTCTAAAGAGAATTGATGTGTTGCAAGTTTCCGTCTGTTAGTGTGTCATGAATTTGATCAAAAACTGAGGATTCAGATTTTTCCTGAAGTGCTTATCAAGTAAATAGATTTCATCGTCTTCTCGTGTGCGGAGGTTCATCTCGAGAAGGAATTCGGGGTACTTGAATGATCTATACTATTGGGATCTTGATTTCGCATCTCTGAAACGCAGTACGGGTTCATTGCTATAGGTTTCATTATTGATCGGCATGAATCGAAAACCCCAGATTCGAGGACTTACAAAGTTTCAGAATTCGTGATTCATTCGCCACGGGCTTTGGTGTGTGACAAACAAGTTATTTCAGGGGTATGATATTAATCGAAAGATAGGACGAAAGGAAAGACTCAGAGGCAGAAGATGAATAGTGAAACAAAGATCCGAATATCCATGAAGTAACCCACTTGTCCTTACTTAGTTCACTCGAGGTAACGAGTCCCGTGGACATCATGGAATTCCTTATAGTGCGTTCCTCGTTGCTTCATGCTTGGATGCCGCCAGAGAGCTCGAGGGAGTTGATGCTATTCCCAGCCGCAACTGGTAAGATGAAGTAGAGGCCATTTCCATGAGTCTATTAATCTGCCTTCATCGTTACAGAATGAGGCGCCAGGTCTGGTCGGACTCCCAAACAGTACGGCCAGGGAACGCTACTTCGTTGCATCTCTAACTCCCTCTCCTATCACCAAAATTTGAGAATTGATTGTTTTCCGCCTGGTGTGTTCTCTTACTATGTTTGAAGCCAGGTTGTCAGGATATGTACAATACCTTTTGCAATTCAAGTTGTCCCAATATTATTTCAAGATGTCCGGGTATCATTCCAATTTGTCCGAGTATCATCTCTAGATGTTTGAGCACCATTTCAAGCTGTCTCGTTAACCTCATCGGTGCTGACAAGCCTCCCAGCGATGTCGGGATGACTACCATGTAGGATAGATTTCTTTACCTCCCGCTGAACCGCAGGGGGACGATTGTGAGACGTGCCTTAGTCACACACGCGTCTGTGTGTGGTTGTTTTTTCCCTCCACCGATATCAGTGAATCATACGCGATCAACGCTTGAGCCATTACTTACCTCCGTGGCATGATGCCGCTATGGACTTCACGAGCTACACCTCAAGCGGTCGCACTTGGGACAAATGATCGTGCTTGATCGATATACGCATTAGTGTTGACCAGATTCACATCCGGTTTGTTCCAGACTTTCAGGTTATATTCCATCACTGGGACACCACCACAGAACAAGCACCTTCAAGTACTGAACAATCCAAGTTACCATTTTGATCATATATCCGGAACGAAATGAGATATCTCTATTAAATCAACTGCAATAGAAATAACGTAACGAGGGTTGTCGAAATATGCCATAAATTTCATAACAGTTACGGAATTTTATAATGCAAATACAAGTTCAAAAATTGAAATGTTTTCAAAAATGCACTTTTCTGAGTATGGACTCTGAATTCGATAATCTTTATCGCTGAGATCGTATAGTCCTACTTCGACACTTTCATCACACAAAGTAAACCGGGTGAATTAAGGTTAGCATATGACATTCACAAGTAGTAAATACAAACTGGCTTCGAGTAGTCGCATTGTTGTTATCCCAATCTATGCCCCTAACATGATATTACCCAGACTCGCAAATCTGCAAAGGGAGAAGCCTTTCTTCATCGCAACGTTTTATGAAGTAGGTCCACCCGAGTATTACAGGGTAACTCGAAGATATAGTCAACTTTGAGCAGAAGCGAAGGATCTAAATTCAACCGAGTTGCGTCCGATTAAAAGTTGGAGGGCAAAGGATAAAGGATTTGTGGACCTACGTCGATGTCTTAGTTAATCATGCAGGCCGCCAAAGAAAAGATTAAACAAGCTGTAACCTATGGCTACTGCTCGTAAATAGCTAGAAGTTCTTGGTAATTATGAATGCTCTACAGAATCCAGCTATCAAATATTACCTCGCCACAGTGCTCCGGTTTTTCCACTGTGTCCTTAATTGGATTATTCTATTGTGGTATCCTGCATCCAATCGGACTTATCTCATTCAAACATGTCTCAAAAAAGCGAAATGACCAAGAACATGTGCGTATCCTGCTCCAGGATTGCGGGCCCTAGGGCCAAAGCGTTCTGTTGTGATGGGTGGTTACACCTGAAATGCTCTCAAATCGACGCGGACAACTACGAATGGCTAGGAAAATATCCCTCTCCATTCCTGAAGATCGTGTGCTGCAGTTGCTCGATCACTACTTCGAAGGAATGTGATACTCCACTATCGAGAAACTGTCCAGCCCCCATAACACGGGCTACAGTGGGGACAGTGACGTCCTCCGTATGCGGATGTTACTGCCACTCCATCAACGAAAGCAGCTCCTGCAACGGCACGTCAGTAAAAGCAGCCGAAAATAACGTCAGCACTGTCATCTGCTGCACCGCCCCCACGAACAGACTTACCCCCCTTGACGTTCACGACATCCAGGCAAAATGCGTACAACCTGTCATCGACAACTGAGGAGTGCCCTCGCGTCTCGCAGGAACCTGTGCAGCAGAGAAAATTCCCTTAGCGATTGCACAATGCATCATTGTAGTCAATCTTCCGGAGGCTAAGGCCATCACCGCCCAGGCTAGGTTGGACCACGACCTGGAGCTACTTCGGTCGCTTATGGTGACCTAATTTGCGAGGGCAGGTCTCACAATCGTCCCCCCGCGTTTCAGCGGGAGGTATGGAGATCTCTCCTACATGGTAGTCATCTTGACATCGCTGGGAGGC